TGCAAGCCCTCGACATTTGTCTCCTTTTGCCCCAAGAACACAAGTAATGGGCGCCATTCGTTACGGAGTACAGGTGACGCCCATTTATGCATATAGCCAATCAGGCATTGTGCTCAAAATTCGGATAACACAGCTACACCACGTATGCTGAGCAATTGTTTTATTGAACCGCATGCAACAGAAGACGCCCCGCTCTTGCATATTTTTTGGTCTTAGCTCAGCGATTGCGTAAAAAATCCCAAGAAATATCCTTTTTTCTCCGGGTTTCGTAGGCGGCCTGATGAAATTATCGAATCCGACGGACTACAATGAGAGACGAGAAAAGAGAAAAGTCAAGACTTTTAATCACTCACTCCAGCAGTGATGATTTCCGAGCTAGGAGCACTGTGCACAGGAACTGTCAACATACCATTATGCATATCGATACCAGCCTGATGATGACTTTTAATGATATTGCGAACTAGTCGTATTGATATGATTGCAATTAGCAAATACTTGATGAAGATTTAATTGGAAGATAGCACTGAAAACATACTACGGGGAGAATGCTTGCTACCTTGAAAGGAAGTTCTTCATCAACAGCAAGTGCAGTTGCGACGCTTAGCCTTGATCCAGCTTTTTCTGTATGTGGAGTCAATTCATGTTCAGATGTTGAGCGGAATGGCTGAGATAACAAAACATAATCAAATTTGAAATTCAAATCTTCATCATAATGGATATGAAAGATAAAAAACTACTGCACGCATTCAGTTTAGAGAGTTCAAAAATTGGTGGAGAGATAAGCCCGCAGCCTCTTTGCATCCTCACCTCTCCGCTCATATCAGCATCAAACCGGTCATCTGGATGACTGAGTAGCTGTGGGATTGATGAAAATTGCACCTCATTACGGCTAGCTGACGATGATCGACTGCGAGGTGGTTTCTGTAAAGCGAAAATTTGATACCATTCTTTGCTAAGAATCGTGAATAGATGAGCACCCACTTTCGGAGGTACCTGCGCTATGGGTTTCGACGTTTGTGCACTTATTGGGGCACATTCGGATTGAGGTG